TACTACTACTACTACTACTACTACTACTACTCTCTCTCTCTCTCTCTCTCTCTCTCTCTCTCTCTCTCTCTCTCTCTCTCTCTCTCTCTCTCCATCAGCACGCGAATCGAGGAGAAAGTCTCTTTTTGCAGCATGTTTCGACACGAAGAGAAGAGAACATTTTTCCTCTTTTATACGTGAAAATTCTTTCGCAGGCTACGATTCATCAAGTTAGAATTCCATTCCGCGTGTCTTCTCATCCTCGCGTCCATCCGGTTCTCCCGCCAGTGACGGATCAAGGAGGCAGATATATAAAATACATAACGAATCACAAGTATACTTTTCACTCGTTTTTTTTTCGAGTCGATTGATAAATAATTTAATTATTCGTACACTTGAACAATCAGAATAATTATCCCCGATAATTGAACGAAGAAAAATAAGTGAATGTTAAAATTAATAAAAATAACGAGATATATTTTACTTCACAATCTATTCATTATTCATGATTTATTTTTATTTCTCATCCTTTCAGATGATGAATAAATTAGAATTAAAAAATAGCGTAATTCGCGAAACACGATGAATAAAAAAGAAAGGAATGAAAAAAATTTCGGATTTTTAAATTTTTGAAAGTTCAAGTTTAGTGAAATAATATTTTCAATACAACTCTTTTTCTATTCCCGTCCCCCCTTTATTGCATCCGTCCCTGTCTCGCAATCGACCGCCGCAAAAAAAGAAAAGATCGGCCGAAGCCTTGGACAACGAGTCGAGGAACGTTTTAATCGCTGTGATTTCGTTGTTGGCTAACGATGGGATAACGATCGCTGTATTCCCCGACGAGGTGGTACGAGATACGGTCGCGGATAAGGGCACGGTTCGCGTGCTGATCGCGGTGAAACGCGAAGACAAAGTTTGATTTCGCGGGTGTTGCGTTACCGTTTAGCATCGGTTAATTAATACGGGTACGTAGCTTCTGTACGCGCGAATCGAGAGAGCGAGCGTGCCTGATCGAAATCTCGTCACGAAACGGCCCACGTTTCTCATCGTGCGATGAATTTTAAAGCCGTGTGACAAATACGCGATCTTCCTTTAACGAGAAGAATCCGTGACATCATCGTGGCGAACGTGGAGATGCTCGATGGATAGCGAGCGTTTTCCGATCTTTATTTCATTCCACGGTTGAATATAATTTGTTCTCGTTCGATGATTAGATTTGGATCAGGTTTTTTTTTAATAGAATTGTTGTTGCTTTGATCGTCGTTTTGAATTATGAATGGAGGAAACATAAGATTTTTGGAATTTGTGTATGGTTCATTTGGTCATTTTCTAGGTATTAATATTGATATTAGTTGATTGAGTTACGAAATATTTGATGAGAAAGGGTATCAACTGGAATGGGTGCAATATCGAAATGTATATCGTCGATCGTTTTCACTTCTTTATATTTTATCAATTGTAAAATATATAGGGGGAGGATGATCGATCCTTATCGATATAACTAAAATTCGAATTCTCGTGGATACTGATTCTACGACAAATCCAATTTTGTTTCATCGACACCAGTTTCCAATGTTTGATCGCACTAATAAGACGCTATAATAGAAAATACGCGGATCTTCGAAACCGTCGATAACAACCGTGCTACGTAAAAATGGCGAAGTGAAAGTTTTCCAGGTAATACTGGAATCGTCAAATATTACGTAACAGAAGTGTTTCTAGAATTATCCAATACCAAAGAAAAATCTTTAACGAATTATCTTCGATCTAAGTCTCAAAGTTTCAAACCAAAATTATTATAATATTACTCTCCAAACGTAAATCTAATCGATCGTTTAAATTCAAGCCTCAAACGCGAAATCAAGAATCAACGCGAAAATTCTTTTGAAATGCTTTAAACTTTATTCGAAATCCAATATTTGCCGGGAGGAAGAAAAGTATAAAATTAAAGAGAAAGAAATCTCTCGTCGCATACGATGGATGGAAAATGAAACTATCGATCTAACATCTTATCAACACGTTATCACGACAGATCGCAATCGAGGACGATGAAACGAGAGCGCCGTTTAAAGACACCGCGACACGATTTCCTCGAGCCGTCCCTACTTGATCGACGTGGCGCACGCTTTTGATTGTTATTGATCAATCGTTTCGACGTGTATTACACTTACACACGGGCGTAAAAGTGAGAGGACGTGTATACGCGTACACACCTATACGCGGGACACACACACGCGCGCGACAGGGAGAAAACTGGCACGCCACGCGGCTCTATAACGCTGCCACGACACAACGAATATATAGAGACGGCGGATCTTAATGAATCTTTATGGGATGGTGTCGTGAACTTGTGTACCCTCCGGTGACTGACTGAACCCGGCCAACCATTGGCGCGCCTCACCACTCAGCTTCTGGGATGCTTCTCCATTCTCTCTCGTTTATTCTCTCTCGTCTTTCCCGTGTTCAAACACAAGTGAAAATCGAGGCAGACATGCACGAAATATATCAAAGTTATAAGAGCGAATCGGTCGTCTACTTTTTAGTCGTGGCTTTGAGAGAGATTTTTTGAAGAAAGAAGCGAAAGGATTTGTCTCTTTAAATTTTTGGAATTTTCTTTTTTTAGAAAGTTGAAATTTTCGACGAGATCGTTGGAGGACAACTATTAAATTTAACGAGGAGGAAGAAGGTTCAAAGGAACGTCAGAAAATGGTAATAAAAGTTTGGAGGGAGCAGGTGCGGCGTGTAAATTAATCGCTAAAAAAAAAAAAAACCTAGACACGTAAATTTGTCAATTTGAATAAAATTATTCGGAACAGATACGCGACAAGGATAATCTCGTTACCTTTTCAAATCCGTCATCTCGTTTTCATCGTGGTTCGAAACGATGAAAAAAAAAAAAGGGAGGAAGAGAGAAAGAAAGAAGGAAGAGAGTTAGGCTACGTCAATGCGACGAGTTGCTCATTAGGCCGAACGATGGCGTTGCCGCGTGTTTGACAGTGTTGACGCGCGCTCGTCGGTGTTCGTAAAATTTGAAGGGCGTGCAGAAGGTCCGTGGGGTCCCGACGAGTCGCGTCTTGATTGTCATCAAGCCGTTTCTCGTCGCGTGATATCGTCATTAACGCGCCAAGCCCCGAAGAACGCCATGGATCTCGTACACGCGGGGACCGCGTTTCGTCCATCGATCCGCGCCGATCGATCCATTCGAAACCTTCTCACGATCCACGCCACTTCGATCCTCGTGCGATCGATAAACATTCGACGAGCGTCGATGGGAAATCCACCGATGATTAGTAGAATAATTTATTTTTTTTTATCGCGCGATTCGTCTCCTCTTACCTCTTCTTTTTAATTTTCTACTCGATTTATAATGTAACAATAATTTATGATATAAATAAACGCGGAGTTTTATGGTAGATAAATTTTTCATAAATCGGTTGATGAAACGAAAAGTTGGAACATTAATTGATGCGAAAGATTCATTTCAACGTGTATCAATCTCGTGGGAAGAAAGTGAAAGGATTTGGAAAGGATTTATTTACTTAGGTATTTGTGTTTGAGTTGTGTTTTAACGAGTTGTATTTTTTTTAAGAGATTATTGATCCCGCAATTTTTTAAAATTTTTACGATGAATAAATTAAGACGTTTCCCTTATCGAACGTTTCGAGTTTGAAACGTCGATCGCGATTAACGGTGGACGGAGCGAGCATGAATCGTGACAGATTAAATCTAATGACTATCTCGGTGGATAAAAACGGAGATATGGTAATTTAATAGGTAACTAAATTGAGTTGGGATCTGTTATCGAATTGCTGGAAGCTAGTAAATTCATCTGGTGATTTCTGGACCTCGATGATACCTAAGGATCTAGTCTTTCAGTCTTATTATCGCTGGCAATTATCAAACTATCATCCATTTACAGGATTTATAGAGAGTTGCATCGAGTTAAGTCACGATAAATTATCAACTTGTTACGATACGGGAGAAACTAGCATCATTATTATATTATGCGGATTCAAAATTGTATTTTCTACTTAATCCTCTCGTTATCAAATTCCTCGCCATTTATCACACTATTTCAACCTACTTCGCTTCCAAATTCCAATTATTTAATCAAATACAAATATATCTACTTCATTGAATTGTGTAAATATACAATAGTTTTTAAACAAAAACTCTTTTCCTTCTCTTCCTCTACACATTCATCACAAATATCCACTTCCTCTTTCAGCCTCGATTATCATCACAATTTAAAAATTCTCGACTACCGTATTCTAAATAAATAAATAAAGGGAAAAAAAGAAGAAAATCGCACAAAATCACTTACCGGGATCCGAGGAGTCCAAACTGGCGGGCGCCTGTGCGCTGAGGGGTCCAGGGGTGCCCCCGCTTCCGGGGCTGCGCGCGTCCTCGTTACCACCCGCGCCAGGGTACGACAGCGACGAGGAGGGTGGCCTCTGCAACAGACAAAGCGTTTTCGAGCGTACGTTCT